ATGTACAAAAATTTTAAACGACATATATTTAAGAAAAAAGGGAATATATGGTTATTTTATTTGCAGTAGTTATTGTTGTAATATATCAAGTTAGTTGCAGAAGTTAGCCTCACAGAGTGAATCGTACCTTTAAGCGGATAGAAAATGTCAATGATGTTTTTTATCCACTATTTTTTTTAACGTCGATTAATTATCGTTTGAAAATTTATTTTAAAAATATCATTAAAAATGATACATTGAAAAATGTTATTTTTAATGATATTTTCAATAAGAAAATTTCAGTTTAATAGCGTCATTTCAATTGACATTTTAATTTACTAATGCGTCATTTGAAATGACGTTTTTGAAAAAAAACTGATTTTAAAAAATAAGTTTAAAACTGATTGAATTTGAAAAAAGTTTTATAAGTAGTAGCAAGACCATCTTTTTCTTTGTTTTGAATGGAAAACATATGCTCTTTAAATGATTGAAGATATTTGTATACTTTTGATGCACTGCTCAAACTTTTACCTCTCTCACGCTCTCTTGTTTGGGTGCGGGTGGGGGTTGGGGTGTTACAACCACATACATATATTAGGGTAATTACATTGATATCACTTATAGATTGGTCTAATTATAGAGACATTCTTTCAATTTTCTAAAATTATACTGACATTCTTTATTGATTATTTATCTATTTCACAAAGTACCCTATAATTAGCAAGGTTGGAGCTAGAAATTTTGGCCAGCAGAGACAACCTAAACCACGTGAATACTAAAATTATTGATGTTCACAAAAATATAATTTTATTAATAGAACGTCAATTAAAGTAACAACTCATATATATGAGCACTATATAAAAAGAGCTAACAAAAAAAGTTCACCATAAATTTATCTATAAGATTTAATCACCTGCCAATAAATTTTAAACCAAAAAATTTGGTTCAATCATATATAGTTGAATTTTAACAATCAATCGAAACAAACGTAAACCATAATTATTCTATTAAACTAAACTTTGTTATAAGAATGACTTAACCAAACACGATAAAAATATTCAAAACATCAAATCAATATAATTTAATACAACACATAATAGAGGCATTTAGTCTTTTAAAGGAATTTTTTTTGACATATATAAGTGACACATATATATTTGTTAAAATATCATAATTATATATAAATTTTTTTAAAAAAATTCAGCAGGGCAAATTTCTAATAAATTTTAAAATACATATTTTTTGATAATGGGACAGTTTATTAATGAAAACTTTTGAATCTTACCACACTCAAGTACTCTTTGTTCAGTATTCTGAAGTATAATTATAACTGTTAAAAGGAAAACTCTGAAATGAGTCTCAATGTGCTCATTCCATTTTCATAGATCGACGAATCTTAAACAAAGGATGAAAATGAACACCCATGATTTATTCTTCAGGAATACTTATTTTAGTTTCGGTGTAGATTGTCTATCTTAACCACAAGAATTAGGATCTCTTGAGACAGTTTTTTTTGCGACAGTGTGACGGTAGTGTTCACGGTAAAAAAAAAAGTGATATGTAGAAAAAAAAATTGGTGGTGGTAGTGTTGTTATAAAAAATTTATTTGCTATAAATATTATTTAAGACAGTTCTTGTCACCACATATTTTTTGATATTCCACTTATTACGACAAGGTATTGCGGCGGCATGCCTTACCATAATAAGTAGAGTTTTAAAAAGTTTTTGCAATGACAACAACTATCACAAATAGTATTTTCGGCAGTGAATAAACCTGTTATGACAATACTACCACTGCAAAACACATTTATTTTCTTCAAAACACATTTTTTTGTGACATTAAATATTATCACCACAAAAAACTTGTCTTAAAAGACCCTAATGCTTGTAGTGGTTTGATTGGACCAAGGAGGAGATTAGTGAAGGTGCGCATAAATTGATTTAGACATATCTAACCGTTGAACCCAAAAAAAAAAAAAAGAACATCCATCTTGTATAATTGAATTGGTTTAGTGGAAATGCAAAAAAAAAATTACAAAGAGAGAAATGAAAAAAGGGGAAAGTGAAAAGGAGTAAAGAAGCACTAAGGTCCACGAAGAGAAACTTGGAAGACAAGCTAGAATCTTAGATCATCACAATCTTTTTCTGCCATGCATGTCTTGGCCAAAATGATGGATATGGTGTATGGTGACAATGGACGCATGCAAGTCGAACTCTAAGTACCACCTTTAAAAGAATCTAATGTTTGAAGAAGTGAATGTATGTGAATGATTTTCTTCGGCTTTTGTAATTAATGTATGATATTTGGAAAAACTAAGTTTAAAATTTATGTGTATTTATTTAAAAAAATGAATTGAAATCTCATATCGTTTAAGACAAGAGTTTTAAGTTTATTGATAAATTTTTATTCACTTCTTTAATACTCCGTTTGGTAGAAATGATGAAAAATAAGAAGGCTGAAAAATAAGAATGATATATTTTCTATTCTTAAGAAAAGAAAGTACGAATGATACGATTTCCTTCCTTTGTATTTGGTAGGATGGATGAAAAATAAAAATGATTAAATTTTATTTTTGGTGCTTGGTAAGATGAAAAAAAAATATATCTTTTTTATTTTAATTTTTTTTTTAAAAATATAAATCTATATTGTATTATTGTATTTATATATAAAATTAATGTAGGCATAATATTAGATCAAATGATATATAGACAAACAAGATACATTTCAACATAAATAATTAACTTTTCATTCACTTTTGTTTCGATTTTGATGAGTTGGACTAAAATCTCATTCATCCACTTTTTCATCATTCCCTACCAAATATGATATTTTCTCTATTTTTCAAATTTTTCATCTTTTCATCTTTTTGTCTTTTTTATCTTTCTATTCTTCTATTTATTGATCATACCCAATGAAGCATAAATGTTAGGTCATCTACTTATGTTTTGTTTGATACGATGAAAAAATAGAAGAATAGAAAGTTAGAATGGTAGAAAGAACATTTTTTTTTGGTAAGGAAGGCAGGATAGAAAAGTAGATGAATGAACTTTCCTTCCAACTCAGAAAAATTAATCCATTCAAAACTAAATGGAAAGTGAATGAAAAATTAATTATTTGTGTTGAAATATATTTTATTTGTCTATATATCATTTGATATATACATATATTATGTATACATTCATTTCATATATGAATTAAAATTTTAAAAAATAAAATTAAAAATTTTAAAAATATTTTTTCCATCTTACTAAGCACAAAATAAAATTAATCGTTTTAATTTTTCATCCATCCTACCAAACACAAAAAAATAAAAGTGTATTATTCCTATTTTTCTTCCTTTAAGGATAAAAAGTATATCTCTTCTACTTTTCATCCTTCATACTAAATAGAGCATTATGTTTTGTTTGATATAATGCAAAATGGAAGGACGAAAAGTTAGAATGATGAAAAAATTGAGAGATACATAAAATATCATATTTGATAAGAAAAGAAAATAAGAAAGATGAAAAAGTGGATGAATGAGCTTCTAACTCACCATAATCAATCCCTCAAAAATTGAGAGGAAAAATAGATGAAAAATTAATTATGCGTGTTAAAATGTATATTATTTGTCATATTTCTGTCAATTGCATGTATACATTAATTTCATATATAAATATAATGATAAAATATTTATTTATATTTTGTCATAAATAAAAAATAATAAGTTAAAAAAATAATTTTTTCATCAAACAAAAAAAAAATTAATCCTTCCTTATTTTTTTATGCCTTTTACCATACACAAATGATTGAAAGATAAAAAATGTATCACTCATACCTTCCATCATTCTATTTTCTCGTCCACCCTATTAAACGGATCATTAAAATCACTTATAATTTAATCAAAATGAAACCCGAAAAGTTACCTTAGATAAGTCCTATCAAATTTTTTAATAAGATTCACTCACCTAAAGTTTGAGTTACAATTTTTTATATTTGGTTTAAGTTGTGTAATATTTGTCATATAACAAACCTATTGTAGGGTTTGGTTTACAATTTTTAACTTGTGTCAAGTTAAGAGGACAAGAATGTTTTGGTTAGAAAGTCTCTTTCATTGAGAGAGAAAACTCTTTAACATTTTCTCCTGACAACATTGTCTGGACTCAATTCAATCGCTATGGAGTCCACCGTTGTTACAATTATAGGACCGCACATTTATGTCATAGTGGATTCTCTCTCTCTCTCTCATACACAGGCAAACATACATTTGTGGAAGTCTCGTTTTGCAGGTCGGAAGTACGAGTAGGTTTCTCAAGAAGATAAGAAGACAAAGAAAGTCTAAGCATTAAAGCCACAAATGAAGTGAAGTTTTAAACTAAAGCCAATTCATTGTATTGTAGCATGGCCTTTACATCCCACCTATGCATAAAGTTTTTTGGGTGATATTATTCTTGGTATGTCTAAAGAATAAAGATCTCAACTCGATTGGATAGTTGACTTAAGCTCGGTTGACTGAAGGGTTTTATTTTGAAATGCTAATTATAAGAAAACTAGGAATTACAAAGGAAATTTTACCTACCAAGTTTTTTTTTTTTCCTTTTCCTTGATTTCTTTAGTATGTGAATGATTTGTGTGGAGTAACTGGGCAGTTAATGGCTAATCGCAATTAATGTGATGGAATGTATATCTCCTAAGGCAATTCCACTGCTTTGCTAACAGTTCAAGCACTCTAGTAATGCAGTATTTTTTGGTGTTTTGTGACATACTCACTGGGTGACTAAAATTGTGCATTGTGGATATCCATCTTGGTTCCTTGCACTTGAAGAGGAAGAGAGGGAGAGGGGGAGAGGTTTCAAGTCATGAACTTATGCACAAATATTGTTGGCAAGTCTTCAATTCTCTCAGTTGCTCGCCACTTCATGAAATGCAATATGTTTTTTGACTCCTCATAAGATCGAAGTCCTTAGAAAATTCAGAATTATACTAGCATTTACGTATACTCTTTTTCTATGCTTCAATTGTACAAAATGTCTTGGTTTCGATGAAATGTGGTACTACTAGACCAGTTTTACTGTGTTATTTACTTCACACTGGTTACTGTTAAGGAGAATTTAGTGTCCCAAGTTCATATTGGAATTGATTTGTTGTGACACATCATTTTTGTTGCACTGTGTGCATCTGAAAAGGTTGTGCAATTTGACTTGCAGGCGTTCCATGGACTGAAGAGGAACACCGGATGTTTCTGCTTGGTCTGCAAAAGCTTGACAAAGATGATTGGCGGGGTATAGCACGCAATTATTTAATTTCAAGAACACCCACTCAGGTGGCCAGTCATGCCCAGAAGTATTTCATCAGGCAAAGTAATGTGTGTAGGAGGAAAAAACGGTCTAGCTTGTTTGATATTGTAGCTGATGAAGTAAGTGTTTTTCCCTCTTTTGCATAACTACATGATCCAGACATTTGACCATGCACATATAGATATTGTACAATTATTTATAATTATAACAAGTTTCTTGTGATTAAACTTTAACAGGAAAGAATTGAAGTTTGTTTATGACTATGGATAACATTTTTACCTTTACTGTTGCTAGTTTCTGACAAAACCTATGTTTTTATTGTTAATTGGATTTATTTCTTCTGAATCTCATTCAATGTGACTGTAAAAGCCATAGTGGCATGGCACGGTGATGCTGTGACATAAATGCAAATGGACTGACCCACTTCAGTGGTTTTCAGCCTTGCTCAAAATAATATTTATGCTGTTTTAAGTTAGTAGAAGGGGACCCAGCTTTATGTTAGAAAAGCCAAGGTTTAGATCTCTATGATTTTAGATGCTTCATTTGGTACTTTCAAGTGAAGTGTTTTCATGTATGTGTTTCCTTTTTTTTTTTTTTTGTCTTTTTTTGATGGATTGCTGATTCGTCTTCTTGCTGTTCTTCGCATTTCTGTAGTCACTCGGCACTTCAATGTTATCACCGGATTTGTATGCCATCGACCCTCCCCAAGTAGGGAGAGAAATGGACAATCCATTGCCTGCTCCTATTGCTGTGGATGAAGAATGTGAGTCAATGGATTCTGCCAATTCCAACCACACTGAAACTGTACCTCAGAGATTAGATGGCTCACAATGTGCATATCCCGTCCTCTATCTTGCATATATCACTCCGTGTGTTCCATTTTCGTCTGCATTTTGGTCTGGGTACAGTGCAGAGCCAGCCAAATTGGAAACTCATGATGAAGTGCTTAAGCCAACAGCAGTTTACTTGAAGAGCCCAATTAATGTTGATGAGCTCATTGGCATGTTGAAACTAAGCTTAGGGGATTCCCCAGGCTAAGCCGGATCATCCTCTCTCTCACTAAAGCTGCTCAATGGCTCCATTGGGCAGTCAGCTTTCCATGCCAATACTGCCGCTGGCAGCTCAGACATGAACTCAAGCAACTGTCCAATCCATGCAGTCTAGAAATTGAGTGTTCCATCTTCAGAATGTGGGTTTGCTATTTTTAGCCTTTTGAGCTCTATAGATTTCCTTTTAATACAAGCAATAATGTGCAGGCTGGTTTGGGTTACATTGGGTGGAGCACCATAACAGCAATGGTTTTGGGGATCATTTAACTTAATGTAAACGTTTACCTCGTAGGACGTGTAGCAACTCTTGTCTGAAATTATTTGAATCTTTGATTGTTTTGTTGTCAAGTTCTTTGGCTCCATCAAACTTTATTGTTGTTTACATTGTACTTAGAATACCTGACCTGCTTACATTTATTTTGGGTCAAAAAGAGATGTTATCCTTCTGGTAATCTATGTGTCTACGTTTTCAATGATTGATCTGCTTCCAATTATATTGCTGGAAAACCGTTTTGTTTTGATTGGTGCGGGTTTCGGTTTGTATCGTCATGCTGTATCCATGGTTGTCATAGCATATTCCTCTGTGTGATCGATGCGTTTAACTAAACTGACCACTCCCTCGGTTCAATTCTTGGCCGATATGATGGCAGTGTGTATCCAAACCTCTACGAAGCGGCTGCTTGGGAGGATCCTTTAACTGACAACCGGATACAGTCACGGTTGATCGTGATGGCTACCGTGAATGTATAGACTCTGATAGAACATGTACATCGTCGGATCCATATATTTCAAATGTATTTATAGCATGGTGGTGTCTAACACTAACATAGCTAACAACTTTTGGATGTTGGGCTACTTGGATGTAGTGTTTTATTGAGCAGTTACATTTGTAATGTTTGAGACTAATTCTGTTTGATGAGTCGAGATATTGCATTGTTTTGGTCTTCAAATTGGAAGGCAAAAGACCAAGATTTGCCTGGAGGAGTGTATAGGGGATTGTATTTTTCCTACCAAAATTTCAAATGTCCTTTGCTCATGTGTTGTTCCATTAATCATTTTGTGGATGTATCATAAATTTGTATCTCGCATTGATCATCACTCGTCAACATCGAGAACGAATTTTAAAACGTGTTGTACAATAATGGTCTGAAATTCATATTGTACCATGTACTTCATACATAACTGTAAAAGCCTGTTTGGTAGATGAATAAAAAAAAGTTTGGTATGATGGATTTAAAAAAATCTATGTTTGGATGCAATTTTGAAGCCCTCGATTGTAGTCTCAGCCTGGATGTTCAAACCCATAAACATTGGCTTCAGCAAACCCAAGGGAGTGGATTTCTATTGGACAAAATTGGATTCAATTGGTAAAATACTTTTGTACCCCTTAATTTAGTTTGAATTACTTAAATAAACATAAGTATGTATTGGATTGACCAATAAGCACAAATGTATGGTGATAAATTCGTGGGTTCAAAAGATGTATTTGTTAGTTAACAAAATAAGTATGAATAGAAGTTATTTATGAATCTCATGTACTAAAAAAAACAGAGGTTGAGTTTAAAAGAGTTTGATAATAATCTAATCCCTCACCCCAAAGTCACCCAAATGTGCTGTAAGGGACTTGGGACATGGGTTTCACAGGCCTACCATGCTCTTGCATTGGTGTTCACTCCGATCAACCTCCAGAGTTATGGGACATGGTGTATAGACAAGTTGCCAGTCAGACCTAACAGTGGTAGTTCCCGGTTTGATGCTATCTCCGATACTATTTTGTAATGCTCCAATTTAATCACTGTTGTATTGTTTTCTCTGAGCTAGACGAACTTGACTTAAATAAACATATATATTGGGGTGTGTATATATTGGAATCCACACCATACCATGGGGAGTGTGCTTTTTTTCAGATCCATCCCCGTAACCCGGGTTAAAACCAGGGTATATATCTGGGCAGAGACGGAGCTGTAGCTTGGTCTAGGGGTCCATGGCCCCCCCCCCCATACTTGTGCTAATCTGTGCTGGCCCCCACCGAATTATTTAATAGTAAAATATCTTCTTTCTAGATAAGTATCAAATATAAGCCCTTTAAACTTTTTGAATTTCATTCACTCGTGCAACACGTTTTTTTTAATGTGTGAGTTGAATTATTGTAATTAAAAAGTTAAATTTTAAACGGTTAATTTTAATTTGTACTTTTAGAGATTAAAAATTATAATTGTACCGTCAAAAATATAAATTTATATCAATGCGCATTTGAAATTAACATCCATTAGTTTAACGTCTAAAATTAAATAAATAAATTACACTTAAATCCTCTCATACTTGTTACTTAATTATCTAAATCCCTCACATTTGAATATAATGTCTATATCGCTTGAGAATGAATATTATGCTTATATCTCTTGAGAATCTAAGTATGATTAAAAATGTTTTTCCCAATTGAGTATTCAAATAATTATATTCAAATGATATATTGCATTGAATATAAAGAACATTATATAAATACCTGCATTGTATTAAACATTCAAATGGTAAGCTTGATTTTGAACTTTAGAGTATAACGGATCCATAAAATAAATGGTAGTATGAAAATTATAATTTTTTATTAGGATAAAATCATATTTTTTTAACTATTATATTAATAGACTAGTCATAACTTGTGCCTGAAGGCACGATAGAACAAAAAATTCGAGTCCTAAAAAATTGATAACACTATATTAAAATAATATTTTTTCTTTCTTTCATTTGTTTGATTAAATCATTCAAAATTTATTTTTATCAATTATTTTCTTAAAGATATTAACAAAATTTTCTCAAAATATGTAATTCGATAAATTTTTTTAACAGATATATATTATCGTATATAGATAATATCTGAAATAAAAAATATGTTAAATTATAAATTAATCAAATATTAAATGATTGACCATGCGATAGAAATGAGTAATATGATGATTTTGGGGGGTGAAAAATGTATAGGGGATAAAATTCAACTTCCTGTGTGTTTTATTATATATATTTGTATAGATATAAGAGAAAGTTTCATTCAGATCCCCTGTAGTTAATTCTAAATTCAATGGCACCTCCTTTCGATTTTGAAATTTTACTGTTACTCCCTGTTGGTGATTGTCAAGTTACACCGTTAATGGCGATGATTGATTTATAGAAATATTCTCGAGTATTTTATAGAGTAAATTTTATCCACACCCCTTATAAATAAGTCTAACTTTAACAAGACTCCTGTAAATAGACTTAACTTTAACAACAACCCTTCTTAATTTTGAAATTTCAATACACTCCTTTTTAGTTCTATTATATTAGTCTTTATTTTGATCAATTTAATATTTAATTTTATCAAATTAATTTTTTTTATTTAATTTTAACTAAATTAACATTTCATCTCATCAAATCAACACAAAATTGATATTTAATTTTATCAAATTAGCATTTAGTTATATTAATTTAATATTTCATTTCCTCAAATTAGTATTATTTCTTTAATTTAATATTAAGTTATTATTTATTTTTTATCAAATCAACATCAAATTAAAATTCAATTTTATTAAATTAAACTATTTAATTTATTAAATAAAATATTAAATTCCATTATTTTAAAATTTAACCTTATGAAATTAATGTCATTTCTTTAATTTAACACCAAATAAACATTTAGTTTTATTAATACAACATTCAAATTTATTCAATTAACATTAAATTCAATCAAATTAATACTAAATTAATTTTTAATTTTATCAAATTAAAACTAAATTAATATTAAATTTATCAAAAATAAGATCAAATTTATTCAATTAATATTAAATATTATCAAAAAAATTTAAATTTTATATTTAAAGTATGATGAGAAGCGGTTGAGCGATATTGTGGAGGACATATGATAGTAGATGAATTAGAAATAGATGAAATTTTAACATTGATTTTATCAATTGTAAATTTTATAATAGAAAAATTATTTTTAACTATAAAAATTATTATAATAAAAAAATATAAAAATTATAAAAACTTGATTATGTAACCAAATGAGTGATAATATGATGACTAATATTATAACAAAGTTATAATACGACGTTTTAAAATAAAAAATTCATTAGGATAATATAATGATTGAAATTACGTTTGTTGGCTGACTAGCACATATATAATGAAGAAAAAATTGATGACATTTTAGTCTATTTACATAATAAAGAGTAATTTTAGTTTTTTCATACAATATTTAGTTAAATTATTATTTTATCTACTCACAGAGACAAAAGTTATTGTTATAGGGGTTGTCATTGAATTTAAACTCAACTACATGGTGTTTAGATGAAATTTTTTCTAAGATATAACATGTAGATATAGTATGTATTCGATCTTTGTATTATATATATGTGCAGGAAAGATGTGTGTGTGATATGAACAATAAAGATGGAGAATAGTTGCATTAGAATATAAGTTTGGGAAGACATGTGTCTCAGTTTGGAAAGAAAATCATGAAAGATGAGAATACGAGGGATAATCAATGTCTCAGTATAGAAAGTGATCCCTTAACATAAGAAATAAAATCAGGGAAATAATGATAAGAGTTGTAATCTGTATTTTAGGGTGAGAGATAGGGTTGAGGAATGAGAGATCGCTTACATTTTTTTTCCCAAAGAATTTGCGGTATTTCAAACTCTTGGTTTTTATTTGCATAAAGTGTTAAATTTGGGTTTTTTTTTTTAATTGGGTTGTACAATTTTCGTTGAATTATTTAACTTTCGTTAGGGCGTGTTACCACAAGATAATTGAGTGAACTAACCCGATATGTATTAGAAACTATTTTTATTGTTCATCTTCTTCTTATGAGTAATATGGTAGTCGATATATTTTTATGCCTCGAAAATTTGAATCCTTAAAATGTATATACTATCCATCTTGTTGGTTTGATTTAAGTACTAATATTTGGTCTCCAAGCATAAATTTCTGACTCCATCCCTATATTTGTGGGGGTAGAATGGGGTGGGGGGACACAAACAAAAAGATCCTAATCAATTCTTGCGATTTATCATTAGTCAAGATATTATTTTTGTGGTGAGAGCCGAGACGCCAAGAAAGCCAAGATAATGCCTTACCAACGGCTAAAAGTAAGGCCTAATGGCCACCGTTGTTTCTGTTTAACCTTAATTTCGTGAGTTTAAAATTCGTTCTTTTTGTTCAATGTAATAGTGTTTGACCAAATAATATATCAGGATTGAATTAGTATTTAATACAAATAAATGAATTTTCGGCATGATCGATTGTTATAACTGATATTGTATGAAAACAAAATGTCTAATTTTTATCTGATATTGTATGAATTATCATAGAATCAAACAAATTTGCATATGATTTTTGTAAAATGCGAATCAAGTAGATTTAATTTTTATCACGACCTGAGTACAAATAAATACAACCCGAAAATGACGAGACAAGTTGGGTGCATTGACACCCCTAAGCAAAAATAAAGATGGATCATATATAATAGCCAAACTATCCCTTTTCCAAGGGTCCCAAATTTTTGTATTGAACATTGACTTTGATTCCACGTCGGGGAAAATCTCATTTTTTTTAAGTTTAACCTTTAATGACTAATTTTCTTATATTATCCCCTTAAACAAAAAAAAAATATTGCAATATGATTTATTGTTTTATTTTTGTTTGATTGTCCGTCGATTTTGCGTCAATTTTTTTTTATTACAATTTTGTGTCAAATCATCTAATTATAAATCACAAAACAGACGGACGATCAAACAAAAATAAGACTGTAGACCATATTGTAATATTTTTATTTTTTTAATAAAACAATGTAAAAATATTAAGGAAAAATTTTACTCACTTCCTTTTTAATTTATCATATCTTCAAGGACCACTTGCTATTATCAATTTGAACTCTACTTGAGCTGTTAACCCTAATTAAAATTTGTTTTGAATTGATTAAAATTTTTATTTTTTTATTTATTAAAAATCTATTTAAGTTAATTAAAATTTATTTTTTATGTATTAAAATTTGAGTTAATTAAAATTTATTTTTTTTATGTATCAATAATCAGCCTAATTAAAATTTGATTTAAGTCTCAAATAAAATTTTAATTAGCTTAAATTTTAATACATAAAAAAAATATAATTTTTAATCGAATCAAATTTTAATATATCAAAAATAAATTTTAATTAGTTCGAATCGAATTTTAATACGTAAAAAAATTTTAAAAATAAAGGGTGTTTCATTGAAGATATGTCTATCTAGAGAGACATATCTTCATGAAGTTTTTTCCAAATATACCATGGATAATTTAATAAAATTATATTTTAATTAACACATTTAATTTGATATGGGATGTTAGCGAAGATTTAAAAAAAAGTTAGTGTTTTTGAAGATACGCTAAATTAGAAGGAATAAATTAAAATTAATAATTCAAAGAATAAATTAAAATTTTGTGTATCTTTAGGACACTGTCAATTATAAGATTTACCCTCCATTTTCGTGTAAGAATTATAAGAAGCTCAGCTCCTTAAACTCTATCCCACATATCTGCTACTTAGTACTCAATAAAAAAAACCATTTTCTATCATGGAGGACACTGTCAATGTACATTGCGACGATCAAACCGCGGCGTACGGCGAGAAGGTTAAGAAAAGAGACGACGGAAAACACCCGACATACCGCGGCGTACGGCGGCGGAGCTGGGGAAAATGGGTGTCGGAAATTCGTGAACCGAGGAAGAAATCAAGAATATGGCTTGGAACGTTTGAAACCCCGGAAATGGCTGCTAGGGCCCATGATGTAGCGACTATCACAATCAAAGGCCAATCAGCTTTTCTCAACTTCCCGGAGTTGGCTCACGATTTTCCCCGCCCAGCGTCAATCTCTCCTAAGGATATTCAAGCCGCGGCCAAAGCCGCCGCCTTAATATTTCGGAAAACCCATGAAGCTGAAGGTGAAGCTGAGCTCCGCCGTGAGGAGGTTGTGGGTCTGTACTCTACGGAGGCCACCGGAGACTCATCAAATTCAGCTTTAATCCCCGCCGACGACCCTTTTGCGGGCTTGCCTGATCTCTTTCCCGACGGTGGTGATCAAACTGATGAGTTCGGTGAATTCTCGTACACATCGCCATGGCAACTGCCCGAAGCTGAGTATGTTGGTAGTGGGTTCTGGCCCAAAGAATCTTTGTGGAACTGCAGCTAAAAGAGCACCCAAAGATATAGTTCAAATTATCGTTCGATAGTAATATCGTAAGTCTAATACCGTTTTATGCATGTATTATTCAAAGTTTGCACCATTTGATCAAAAATATTTCCGAAAAATTTCTAAATTCAAGTGTAACCCAAATCATGAAACCCTCACAAATGAAAATTACAAAATTACATGTTTTTGTTGAATATGTAAGCAAATATTTTCATGGGTTGAAGTGGTTGTTATCTTACTTTCTTCGGTAAGATTCACTTTGAAGTACAAGAGCTCTTGGACTTTCACTCCCCTTTCATGTAACGAGGGTACTGGTTAAATGACAAAACCCCATATTATGTACTTGTTTGTATAAGTGAGTGTGTATAAAAGTCTTTTTAGCATTTTTTGCCGGTGGAAATGTCTCTCTCCAGACCAATTTTCTCTCTCTATAAGACTATACCCACTTTGCTAAATTTTGGAATCCATTGGAGTCCAGCACTCTGCATGTAGGGGTGTTCACCTACCGGCTTGTTATTATGATATTTCGTTTTTTAATTCAATATTTTGTGGAATAATTTTTTTTGACCTATCCTATTTGATCAAGTGTATTATTTATACTCTAATTTTGTCCAAAACAATCAAGTAGGATGTTGAGTAGAAAATCGGATGAACATATATCTTTTAGTTATTAATTTTTGGATCATTTTAACAATTTAATGAAGTAATGTATACCAATTAACTAACATAATAAATCAATAACACTAAATAAAAGACAATAAATTCAATAATATATAAAACAATTATAATAACATACAATAAGAAAGTAACAAAAATCAATACATCATATATAAGAATGTCAAAAATATTAATACATCATATATATTTGCGTGTGTGTGTTGGGGGGGGGGGATAAAGTAAGATAAGAATACGATAATTTTGTAAGTATTTTACATTCTTACTCAATTTTTAGTGAAATATCAGAAAATCTTTCGTTAGCCAATTCAAATCTTTCGGATTGTCGATCAATAGAACGGAATAAGGTGAGATAAGATCAAAATTTATGGTTAATTAAAAATTTAACCACCCTTATCATGGTGATGATGTCATGAATATGACTGCTTTTTCTTGATCTAGTACTTGAATATTTTATAATTTTCTTGCGTAACAAAGCTCGGATGCGGATCCTCGGCTGTTCGGAACAAACAGCACAGCCTGCTGTTCGGAACAAACAGCACTGTTTGGTGCCTTTTTTAAAAAATCAGTCAGACTCACAAACGACACTGTTTGGTTTTTCTTTTTCAGTCTAAATTCAAAATCAAAACATCACAATTAAATCATATCATAAATTTTAATAATGATCAAAGAAATCAACAAAACAATCAAAGATTCAAAATTTTAAAAATTAAATTTAGGTCAAGAAAAATCTAACTAAATTTTTTTTAAATTTGTGGGTGTGTATGTATATTCATCTATATATATATATATATGTATGTGTGTGTGTGTGTATTTATATATATATTTGCTTAAAAATATTTGAAATAGACATAAAAATACTTGAAATGGACAAGAGACGAATCGTAAAATAAAAATCGCAAAACTAATAATTGAAGGAGTCGTTGGTTGGTATTGGTGTAGGAGTGCGCCAAGACTGGCGCAAGAATGGTGCCAAATTGCGGTTCTTGGAACTGTTCAAAAACAAAATTGAACAGTACCGTTTAACGAAAAAAAAAAAAAAACGAAGGCAAACGCCATCGTTTTAACCGAACAACAAGCTGTGCCGTTCCTTAGGACTTTACTTTTTTTTTTTTTTTGGGTCTGATTGGTTTTGGGGTTTTTTTTGTTTTTTTTATCTAACTGGTTTTTTAAAAAAGGCACCAAACGGTGCCGTTTCTTCCGAACAGCAGAGGATCCGCATCCAACAAAGCTCTCTGTCAATATAAAAGGACAAATGAGTGGAATATCCTTGCCATAATCATTTGCTTATGGAAACAAAGCAGAAAACACCCCCCTTTTTTTTTTCCTTGCAAAGGAGAGAGAAACATGACTTTATCTAACATCTAACAATTTAGCAACTTCTTACAAAGCATCTACTTGTGCTATGGTCACTCACGTATAGCGGTATGGGGAACAATACTGGTGGAAAAGCATTCTTTAATCCTATTTTTATGTGATGTGATGGTGTCTGACATTTGATAATTCAAGTATTTCAGATTTAATTATTTTTTACACTCTTTAAAAGTTAATCACTTTTATCTCTTTAAGGATATACTCTAACTCAACTTAAGTCACGATATATTTTAAGTGGAATTATCAACAGTAAACCACCGACTATTTTCATGTGAGCCCAGTATACACGTGCGATTTCAAATCTACCTACAAACTTGACTAAAGGTGATGAAGCCATTAATAGCATACTAAGATGATAACTTGCTTTAACACTGTTCAAAAAAGTGTAACTGGTCCTTTATTTCTATCCCTTTCATTGTCCATTTTTCCTGTATATCCATCCGTACTTGTAATAAACTAGGGCAAGAAGGGGCAAAAGACACCACATATCATCTCCAAAGGCCCCCAGCGATGGTACTAATGAGTCCATATTACTACAGCCAAAAACAGCTGGGGACATAGCTTAGTACGTGGTACATCCGTGCATAATAAAACAAGCACGTTACCGATGACAATTTTGCAGTTCAAACAAAAAAAAAATGAGTATTTTGAGTTTGTGGTTGCTTAGTACTCAAGATAATATATTTTGTTCTCCAGAAATGAATATGATAAAGACGGGAATGTGATAATACCAAAAAAAAACCAATAAAGAATACATTACCAGAGAATTGATTTAGACATGATTTTGATATATTAATAAGAGGGCGATAGCTATCGATGGTTAGTTTTTTTTTTTCGATGGTTACGCGAGAGATAGATATAGATCCAAATTAATTCTAAATGACATTGTAAAACAAGATAGGAGAACAAAATTTTGTTGAGTTGAGTAATAATCCCGATAATATAATTCAGTCTGCAGTTAATGGTTGTGACCTTTCCAAGTACGAAATAAAAAGGCATTAGTATTTCTGTAAATTAAGCCAATTATGTAGTCACCCTTCTTTTACATAGATAGGGGTGTTCGAGTTAATTTATATGTACGTCGATTAATTAATTTTTGAACCTAAACAATTTTTGTTCCCATCCATGACCGAAGATGTATGAGTATTGTGATGTTCTTATATAATAAAAAAAAAATGCAGTATTTCTTCTCTCTCTTTCTCTCTCTCTCACACATTCTATTCTAGTTTTTTTTTTCCTTTTTTGTTTTGTTCGGTTTGAGGATGAAATAGAAGGACCGTCGACAGGAATGATAAACGAACCGAGTTTTGTGCACCCAAGTCGAACTTGTCGAGCTCATTTTTTTAAACAAATCTGAAAAGCTGTTTAAGATCGGCTCATTTAAAAAATAAGTCGAGTCCGAGTTGAGTCCAAAACGAACTAAATCTAAGTAGCTAGACCATTTTACATATAAACAAATCGAATCTCTTAAATTTAATTTTTAAATAAATTTAAAAAATTATTCAAATTCAACTCATATTATTTTTTGAGCAGCTCAATTATCCGCCTACCAGCTGAATGTTAAAAATAAGAGCGGCCCCGCCACATGAAACAAAAGTATAAGTAGTAACAAGACCATCTTTATCTTTCTTTTGAGTGGGAAACATATGCTCTTTAAATCATTGCAGGAATGCTTTTGATGCACTGCTCAAACTTTTAGCCCTCTCTTTTGTTTTTTTTTTTTTTTT